AAGAATGACTATAAACCTCACTGACCTACTCCTTCAGCAAAACCAAGTGGAAAAGAAAAAAGAAAAAGAAAAAAAAAAGGCCACATACACCAAATGGTACTCTTTGGGGCAGACAGAGAGGGAACAGGGCAGGACACGAGCACAGTGGGAAGATGAGAAAATCCAGGAAGGCAGCAGGATTAAAAAATTAACGCACAAACTTAATAAGTCAGCAGAAGATACGGTGAAAGATCCCATTTACAAGAGCAACAGAAGAAATTCTGAGATTAATTTAACAAAACATGTGGATAGAAAAAAAAAAACATTAAAATACCCCTCAAGATCTCAGAAGTAGTTTTAAATAAGAGAAGACATACTACATACTTGAGGAGGAATGAACAACATCATAAAAATATCGATTCTCGCTAAATTAATTTTTTAACTTAAAGCAATCCCAATAAAAACATCCTAACAATTTTTTTTTCCCTCCCAGAACCATACATTGGATCCTAAAGTTCACGCTGAACAGGCTGGGTGCGATGGCACACGTCTGTAATCCCAACAACTCAGGAGGCTGAGGCTGAAAGATCGCAAGTTCAAGGCCAGCAGGAACTTTGGGAGGCCCTAAGCAATTTAGTTAGATGTTATCTCAAAATAAAAAAACTAACTAAATAAATAAATAAATAAACCAACCAACCAACCAACCAACAGGAAGAGCCCTCCATCATGTTCTGAAAAATAACAATGAAAGACAACATGAAGAACAGGCCAAGCCTTACCAGATACTAAAGCATACCGTATATGGTACCACACTTAATTCAACAACCCACATAGCACTCAAAATCAAGAAACAGATCAAAACAGCAGCACCCTGAAGTCAGAGGTGCTTTTTACCCAACAGTGTTAGGGAAACTAAGCAGCTATATTTTTAAAAGATTTAATTGGATCCTTAATTCATGTTGCACAAAGAAAAAAATCCATCTGGATTAAAGGCCTCCATGCAAAACATAACTTCCCAATTATTAGAATTTAGCAGAAGCAAGAATAAGCTAGAAGACACTACAAGGACACAACCAAGTAAATATCCTTGGATTACACAAACATGCACCTGTAGCTCCAGCACTTGAGAGGATGAGGTGGGAGGGTCACGAGAGCCCACACGTTTGAGGCCAGTCTGGGCAAAATCAGTGAGACCCCATCTCAAAAAACCAAACCAAACCAACCAACCAACCAACCAATCAAACAAAAAAAAAACAATAGTAAAGGGCAATTCTGTGACCATTAATGAAGTAAGAATGTGGACTTGGTGGCAGATGACCACAGATTCTTTGCAGTTCCCCTCATCAAGACGTGGACCTAGGCGGGTGGTGCTGGCAGGGAGGCTGTGTGAGCTCCAGGACTTGGCCTCGGGAAGTCTTGCAGCCTCCACCTTTGCCCTCTTGGCAGTCTTCATGGCTGCCCTCAGACTGCCAGGCTGTGAGGAAGCTGCTCTACTGTCCTGGAGGGTGAGGGGCCATGAGGAGAGGTGAGGTGGCTCAGCCAACAGCCACCACCAATGGCCAGGCATGAACATAAAGGCATTGTAGCCCGTGCAGCCCAGCTAACTCTGATCACTACCTGAGTGGGCCCAGACCAAACCAGCCAGGGTTACCCTGTCCAGCCAAGCCACAGAATCATGAGAAATAAATCACTGAGCAACTAAATTTTAGGTGATTCGTTATACCACCATAAATAATGTTTTATAACTGGGAATTGAAGAGATGAAAATTTATTTGCTGCAAAAGGTAGACATCATTAACTGAAAAAAACTAGTTATAAATTTTAAAAAAAACTAGTTATAAATTCTCATTTTGATAAACCATATATGTACAAAGGTACACAGACAAAAATATCCAGGATATACATTAAGTAGTAACAAAGGCATATACTTTAGATGCTCAAGTTATGACAGTGTTCTGTGCCAATAAACCCAAAGTAAATTATGTGGAAAATTATCATTATGTGGAAAATGCAATTAGTATGTCTAATGCTTGAAACATCCTGAGTTGGCAACACAGTGTGCTGTAGAGTCTGGCTTGGTGACCCCTGTGATCATGAGATTGACCACTGCCTAGCATCAAGAGAGAGAATTGAACCACATATCACTAGACCAAGAAAAGATCAAAATTCAAAATCTGAATAAGATTTGACTGGATGAATACTGCTCTCGCACCATCCTAAAGTTGAAAAATGGCAAGTCAAACCATCTTAAGTCAGGAACTATTGTAATAAGGTAAACTCTGGGTAATGAAAATATATTTTTATATTCTTATTTTTTCTTTTCTATATCTTCCGGATGTATATGTATTATCTTTGTAGTAACAGAATATTCTTTAAAATATCATTCTTTTTAAAAAAAGATCTATAATATTTATTTGGTCATCAGACAAAGGTCAGCAGGGTCCCTGAAGAGACTACTAATTTCCTACTATCACCTCACAAAGAAGCTGGATGAAGTCAGTGATCAATAATATCAGTTATCAATAGACAACAGGCTGCGCATATCTCCCCAACGTTCTTCTACTGAAGCCCCAAATCCTCAGTACCTCAGGATGTAACTGGATATGAAGTTACAAAGAGGCCTCTAGGGAGGCATCATCACAGGAAGAGAAAACTGGGACCCAAAATGAGACACCGGGGTATGCATGCCAAGAGAGATGGCCATGTAAAGAGACGGCAGGGAGCAGCCCTCTACAAAACAAGGAACAGGCCTCAGAGGACACCAACTCTGCTGACACCTCCATCCTGGACATCAGCCTCCAGAACTGTGAGCAAATAAATCTCTACTGTCTAAGCCACCCAGTCTGTGACATTCTGTTATGTCAGAGATTAAGTGTTATAGCTGAATATTTGAAAAAATGACCTAATGTGTGTCAGAGCACTACAAATAATTACTAAACCATAAAAATAGTCTTTAAAAGTTCTGTTCTAAATTTCTGAAAGGTTTTCATCTTTAAAATTTAACAGCTACTTTAAACATGTACAAAAAGAAACTGGTAAGTGAATCTATTAGGACAGGGCCTGCTTTCTAATGCACTGCCAGGTTAGGGAACAAACACATCACCTAGTCCGTATTCCACTCTTGAGCGGCACAGAAACAGGTCTCCTTGTTTTGTTTTGTATCTGTTTCTTTATGGGTCACTGACAAAGAGCAAAAATAATGAAAAGCTAACAGCTAAAAAGCAAAATGATTAAGGACTATTGCTTCTTAATCAGATACAAAGTATTTCCTCTCCTTTTAAATTAAAAACATGATTTACAAAAATGACACTATTCAGAATACATAATAAAAAACATGCTGAGTACAGTTACCATACCAGAATAAAATAAGAAGGGAGAGAGGAAAGGCAAAAGAGAGGAAGGAGGAGGGCGAGAGGAGACTGGGGTGCAGCCGCAGGGCAGGGTCACAGCTCCTGGGCTTACAGCTCCTGGCTCGTGTGACCTTCACATGATTTAAAGAGGGAAGCTCAAATGAGACAGTCATTTCTTAAACAGCCCTCAGTGACCTCCTAAGCCTTCCTTGGGTGAAGAACTCAAATAAACTCAGGCCCAAATTCAAGCACAGGTATTTATTTCTATTTATTTTCCATGTGAATATCTGTTTTCATTCTGTGTTTTTCACTGTGAAAAATATTTAAAGCTACTGTATGAAAATGTTCTATCCCTTACAACACTGTTACTGACACTAAAAAAATACATAACAAAAAAATCAGTCAATAACATACAGTATAGATACACACACAAGGCAGGCCGAGGGCCGTGTGTTGACTCATTGGAACAATAGGCAGGTATAACATTAACAGGGACTGTGACAGGACTGGAGAGACTGTGCACAGAGAAGATTCAGGGTTGTTAGTTGATGGTAAGCATTCCACAGGGAGCCTGAAGTATAACTTCATAGCTGAAAAAGTGAATGCAAATTTAGGCATCATCAATAAAAGTATACTTTCCAAAATGAGAACATTTAATATAATTGCTAAATTTATATAAAACCCTGTTTGCAACCACTAATAATAGAAGAACAGAGACTGTACTGTTTGGCCACAAGAAGACAGACTTTGGAAGGAGTCAGGTCTGAGTCCCAACCTTAATTTTCAACCTTACACAAAATATGTAACTTCAGGGAATGCACCTTCTAGAACTCTGATGTGCATACTGAGGGGATTCTGTGGTGTTGTGAGGGTCACTGGCACCATGAACAATTCCTGTTACAGTGGACACCCAATAGACACTCAAGAAATAGCTAAAGTTTCCAGAGAAAGAGACTATGTGAAATTCCAACCTCACCACAGTTCTAGGAGGATGTGAACACATCAGAGGACCAAGTGGCAATAATCAATGATGGCAAAGCACAACGCTAGAAGCACTACCGTATTTCCTTTTTGCTTTTCATAGGAACAGAAAACAATGCAGCTTTTCTGCAGAGCAGCCTGGCAACGTGTGCTGAGGACTTTTCCAAAGATCATCAACAAAGGTCCAGTTGGGAAAGGAAGATTCAGAACGTGCCGGTGGGAAGTGGGCGTGGCAGGTGGGTGGATGCTCCCTTTATCTGCAGGCTTTCCACTAGGAAATGCAAAGCATCTCTAGGAACAGAAGTTTTCCCTTTCTTTTTAAAATTTCTTTCCTATTATTGTTCCATAAGTGTCCTCCTGACAGCCCCAATCTAGGGCTGAAATCAAGGCCCACTTTGCAACTCAGCTTCTTGAAGGGAACAGAAGCACACTGGCCAGGATGGCTCCTCCTAACAACACCACTGTTTCTTAAGATTACAACGCAACGTGGGCTTTAAGCATCTAAACTTCTTCCCATTGGGAAGTCTCAAATCCAGAGTCATCTGTGATGTTCAAGAAATGTCCCCCAAAAGAAGAGCGACAGTGAACACACATCATTTCCTCTAAGTCTGAAGTGCTGCCCTTTCTGCAGGTTCTAACTCAAGGCCTGAGGAGAACGTTCTCATGAGAAGTGTGACAGCTGACACTTACCTAAAATGAGATGAAGCTTGGTTTCTGTCTGGAAAGCATAGTGCAGAGTCACCAAGAATGGCGACTGCCTGATGTGCTCCAGGACTTGCCGCTCTGTCCTCGTGTGCTCTGTGGTTTTGGCCTTCTGAACGATGGTTGCCTTTTTCAAAACTTTCATGGCATACAGCTTTCCAGCATCGTGGCCGCTTATTTTACGCACTAGAAATACTTTTCCATAAGCTGAAAATGAAAAGAAAAAAAAAGGAATTAAAATGCATTATAGGCAGACTGGTAATTTATGAAAATTTTTATTTAATGCACAAAAAATACTCTTTAAAAGAAAAGTATCCTTGTTACTGTTTCAAACAGATCTTTAGAATTCTTCAATTTCATACCTAATAAACTTCTAGGTCTAGCACTCAGTATTACATATCCAGCCACAGCTGACAAGGTTACGCTTTTATTCTTTAAATGTTATTCTCTCTCCTCAATATTTTTAGCTGTAGGAAACTAACTGTTATTATGGTCAGCTAACCACAATCCAATTCTGGAACAACTAGGGCATTTTAGACAAAAGATAAAATCTCTAAGTAATATATGTGTGTGTGTATGTGTGTGTGTGTGTATACACACACTCTCTATATGTACATATACATATATATATTTGTTACTGATGCAGAGAAAGGATGACAGCTCTTAATAGAATCTTATACACACACAAATCAAAGGCCCTCAAATGTTCCTGCTCACTGACCAAAAAAACCCCACAAAAAATCCCTCCAAAAAACAACCTAAAGGAACATAATCTGATGTTATAAACAAAGAAGATCTCTAGAACTAATAAACATAAAAGGCCCTAAATTACAAGCAATATAAAGAGAAGCCCCTTCATATCTCTGGGCAGAAATTCATGGCTTACTGGGTCAACCAGGCCACTTTCCTAAGTAAGGGATCTTTCAGGCACAGTAAATGTGTGGTGCCACTCCTCCAGTGCAGGGGCTAGGGCCTTGCTGGGCAGAGCAGGTTTCTGCATTTATTTGCCTAGACAATGGGGGGAGGGGAGGGAGTCAGGGAAGGAAGAGGGAGGAGGAAGGACAAGTAAACAACAACAAACCTGTGGGAGAGAAGAGGGACATCCCCAATTCCCCCCCCCTCCCCAGTTAATACTGTGAAAAATGGAATGAGTGAGCCCAGTTGTGACCCAGAGCACTGCTTCCACACCCTCTCGGTCCAAACTTCCAAAACTCTATTGCCATCTACCCACTGGAACAAGAGAACTTTACAAGAAGTGCTCTGGTCCTCTGTATGCTACGCAATTCAGTGCTTCAGGAACTAGATTAGCACTGACACATGATACACCATGGATCAAGTGCTAGACGGACTAATCCCAAGGAGAAGCAGAGCCAGGACTTGTTAGGGATGTGACTATGCCAAGTTCTGCACTAAACCCTCTCCACATACTGAATGACTTAATCCTCGCCACAGTCAGTGAAGCTGGTACCTTTAACAATTCTAATTCACAGATGAGAAAATGGATTCAGAATAGCTAACGAACTGGCCAAAAGACATGGGCAAGGAGTGGCAGAGCTGACTGAGAGCAAGCAGTGTGATTCCAGGGACTACCCTCCTAACCCTAGTGAATAAAAAATAATTCCTCATGAGTGCCAGGAACCTGGATTTTAATAAAACCAGTACCATAAACATACTGCACACAGTTTAGGACAGAGAGAAAGTTGACAAAGACTTGTGCCTTTTCTCATTGTAAATATATATGATAATTGTAGATTGAGACTTCAGAAAGGTGGAAGTGAACAAAATAGGAAATGACAACTTTTAGAACCTAGCAAATCAATTTAAGTATGAAAGTGAAAAAAGTATCTCTATCCAGACGCAAAGAAAGAAAGCTGGAAAATACTCTCATGATATGTACTACACTTCTCAACAAAGGAAGCCACTACATAATCTAGAGAGAAAGCAAAGTCCTCTAAGCAGCTGTGGAGCTATGCGGGATACCACTGGACCTCCCAGAATCCAGTCTCCAGAGCTACAGTACTCAGAACTAACAGAGTCCATCCACCCTCTCAAACATGGCTGCTCTGTGTCTTCCACCCTTCATATTTGTTCTTCAGCACAGGTGTTGACATGTGACTGACTGACTGCTGGGTGTCAGCACCTAACAACAGAGTACTCAGCAGCCAGTTTAGATATATAGTAACTCATTCAATTCTTAGACCATACCTAAAGGTGGTGGGACAATGACATCCATCTCAAAGATGAAGAAACTAAAGTGAGGAAGATGGGCCCACTTGCCCAAGATGGCACCTGCCATTGAGCCTGCCTCCTTAGTGTCTCTCTTGGCTGAGCTCCAACTGCTTCCCTTAAGTGAATGACTTTATCAGCAATAAATAAGGAGCCAGACACTGCAGGAAAGCCACAGTCCAGGTGAGGTATTCTAGCAGTGGGATGGACACACTAGCGACTACTTTTAGGACAAGAAAGTTTTGCAAAGTAGCCTCATCTTATTGACGGGGGCTCTGAATGTTACAAAATGTTCTTCATATTGAGGCCTATTTTAAATCCTCATCTGTTTGTCCTTCCCCACACTCTGAACTTACAAAAAAAAAGAATACTGACCCTTCTTGCATAAGATCATTTAAAAGTGTTTTTAAAAACTATCGTGTCATCTCCTTACTCCTTATGCCAATCTCAAAGTAATAAGATTTTGAAACCTCTCGCCATTAGGAGGTTCACTGATGTGTTCTATGGGTGCATCAATTTTCTTTTTTTTTTTTTGAATTCTTCCCTACTCCTTTGAAAATTCTATTTTATTCCAAATAAGCATGAGGTAGTATAGATTGTTAATGACAATTTTTCAAACAATACAAAATCATCCTATTGCCATGTGTTTCAGTAAGCTTTTCTATGGCTTTGTCCAAAAGACCTGAGAAGAACAATGTAGAGGAGGAAAAGTTTATTTGAGGCTCATGGTCTTAGTCCACAGATTGCTCTGAGCCCAAGGTGAGGCAGAACATCAGGGCAGAAGGGCGTGGTGAAGGAAAGCATCTCCAGACTTGGCCACCAGGAAGCAGAGAGAGCTCTGTTCATCAGGGACAAAACATATATCCCAGAGGTATGCTCACAGTAACCTACCTCCTCCAACCACACCCCATATGCCTACAGTTACTACCTAGTTAATCCATTCAAGTCAATTAATGCAGTGATTAGGTTAAGGTTTTCATAACCCCAGCATTTGACCTCTAAAACTTCCTTACTTCTCATAGTTGAGCTTTTAGGGGACATTCAAATCTAAACTATAACACCATGTTTCACTCCACAAAGTCTAACAATATATAGTTATCCTCCTTGCCATTTGATGATGTCCAGAAGTTTCCCAATAATTCAAATTAAAGACCACATCTCCATTCAACACAATTATATTAATCTATCAGAAAATTTCAGGAGTGGGGGAGGGACAGTGAAATTCCCAATTCCTCAGTTTTTAAGAATTGCCATGATTAACACTAAAGCTACAGTACTGCTGTCACAACACAACTGTGAGTGAATGCTTATGTCAATAAAATTCAGATGCCTTAAAACATTCCCTACAATCAGTATTTCACACAAGATACTTGGGAGCAGGCTGCATAGCTAAAACATAGTGGCCTCCAAACAGACTTGTTTCTGAAGCACCCATTGGGCTGCTTATCATACTGCCAAGGGGAAGAAAACACACAATCATTGAAGAGGCCTTGAAGAACATTCCTCATCTGTTTAAGCTTGTTTGCAGGTTGGAGTAGAGAGAGAAAGTGAAACAGTCCTATTGAACAATGCCAGCCTTTCCAGAACTGCCTAAAACAGAGACCACCAAAACTGGAATTGATGGTAATATTATTTCATTTAATTCCTTTTTGTTTGCACCTAGATGACTGACTGCTTTAAGTGCAGTCAACTGCTAGCTTTTGTTCATTACATGTATGCTGATGTTATTACATAATCCAATATTGAAAACATGTTTTAGAAACTGCAAAGGCTACTGATGGTGAAAATTCTTTTGGCCAAGAATAAGATAAACAGCATTTCCTGCTTGGATGGATCCCCAACAGAGATACCTGGAAGCACATCTGGGTTTGCTACTTGGGGTGAAGAGACTGTCTTCGTTCCTTAGTGTGACTCTAATTTCTGCATCCACATGCAATGGTATCAAATGTTGTACTAGAAATCCTCACAGAGGGCTGGGGTTGTAGCTCAGTGGTAGAGTGCTCACCTCCCATGTGGAAGGCACTGGGTTTGATCCTCAGCACAACATAAAAGGTTATTGTGTCCATTTACAACTAAAAAAATATTTTAAAAAAAGAAATCTTCACAGAAGTCTTGTCTATTGCTGTGACGGTAACCAACTTCATTAGATCTGGGGCATTTTCAAGATACTTGGTCCAGAGCAAAAGAGGATATGGAATTCACTAGTCTTGCAGCTCTTAACTGAACTTGAGTAGAGTTCTACTTATTTTGAGATTGAGAGAAAGTACATTCTAAGAAAAAAATAACAGAAAGGATCACTTCCTGTCTTAGCTTAAAAGACATCTGTGACCCTGAATAAGGTAAATCTTTCAATTCAAGGCCTTACAGACACCATTTTGGATGCTGTCAAAAACCTTTTAGCCAAGTAGCCATTTTAGAATATATAATTATATCAAGGAAACTATATAAATTTCCCCAGACACTGTAGATATGCAAGTTACTCTGTTCAAACTGAAGTGTGGATTTGTGATTCTGTTCTTCTTGGTGAAAATTGTACAATATTGACAGTCTTTGCTGATGACCCTAGTGGTTTGGAGTAACGTGAAGAGATTTCTGGTTCCCTGGAGTAGTACTCTTCTTGGTTTGCTTTTTCAAATGTGGGACTCTTATTCCATTTTTCACGAATATCATTATGAATTAACTTTTTAGCAGTTTTTGCCATTATAATAGCTAAAACAAATTAAAATAAAGCAAGACATTTGTGCTGCCATGCCAAATAACAAGACCAAATTTCAACTTCTTTTTTAAGCCAAGCAAAAACAGTCTTTTGCTAAAATTTACTTTGAGTACAATTAAGCTAATCTCTTCCATTTTATTCCAAAAATTTAAATAAAAAATGTTAGGAAGTAGCCTTTAACATTTGCATTAAATGATAATGAGGTCAATTTGTTAAAAACTATTTTTACAAACTGCCTATAAAAGCAATCAATTTACAGTGTAAG